CTCTCTCTCTGCTCTGCCATTCTGCCATGTGAGACCCCTGCATCACTGTCACTACCAACAAGGTCTTCACCAGGTGTATTCCCCAGACTTTGGACTTCCCAGCCTCTGAAATTGTAAGCAATAAATATCGTTTCTTTACAAATTACCCAATTCCAGGTATTTTGCTATAAGCAACAGGAATGGACTAATACAACAGCCTTGTGAGAAGCCCTAAGCCAGAGGTACTATTGGGTCAAGCTCAGATTACTGACCCCCAGAAATTGTGAGATAATAAGTGCTTATTGTTTTAGGACTAAGTTTTAGAGTGATTTGTTATGTAACAATAGATAATGATTACACCTCCCATTCTCTTTTGAATGTACCCCAGTCAGATTTTCTTCCCCATCACTCTGCTGAAACTATTTGTCAAGATCCAACTATCATAAAAAATATAAATTATTGGCCAAAAATAATGCTGGTAGAATATTGTGTCAAAACAGCCAAACGGCAAAGTAATTTGGCAATATCTATTAATATTTCAAATACATATATCTTTTGACCCAGCCATCCTCTTTCTGTTCCATAGATTCCATAGAAGTAAAAGCATCAATATGCAAAGTTATACATTCAAAATCGTTATTGCAACATTTTTTTTAATAGCCCTAAACTGGAAACATATTGTGTCCATCATTAAGAAAATGTCTGAATAAACTATGGTAAAGACCTTAAAAGAATGTAATAGAACTATAACAAATGACTTGGAGTAATTTCTACAAAGTATTGTTGAATAAAGAAAAAATATAGTAATACATAGGACGTGATCCCACAATGAACAAAACATACTCTGTGTGTGTGTGAGCATGTGTGTTCAACAATACACTTAATGAACTCAACTTGGTAAGCTTATTTATTTAAACAACTTTGTTCTTTCTCCTAGCTGTTCTCTTCAAACCTTTCTGTAAACTAATTCTTCCCTATCCCTTAGATGAAATCTCAGGCATTTCCCATAACTTTTCAGTCAATCCCAGGTAACAAATAAGTCCCCTGGGCACGTTCAGATCCAAGAAATACATCCTTTAATTAAAACACCCAGTCCACTGTATTAATCAAAACTCTGTGCTTTATTCAGAGCTAAAGCTGACACCAACCTCTTTTCTCCACCCTGAATCCCCAGGCTGGTTTCAGGCTTGTAAGACTGCAAGGGAAAGGAACTCAATCACCTTCATTTGTCTTTGCCAGTCTTGTTCTCAACTCCTGCTCCCCCAAGTCTCATTACATTGGGCTACTTTGGACTCTTCCAGATTTGGGTGAAAGGTGGAGGAAAGGGGGAGGTGAAGAAAGAGGGGGAAAGGGAAGGGATAGAAAAGATCTTTTTAACAGGTGTAGATATAATCCAATGCTGGTGCCCTCTGGAGCAGCAGATACCCACTGCTGATTTTTATCTCATTGGCGAGCTTTTGGGAGTTCCAGGGAGATACACAACGAGGACTCTGACTGCTGCTTCCTTGTGGGGCCTCCCCTCCAGCCTCGGTATCCAGGCTGTATCCTACTTCTGTACAAAGTCCATCCCCTCCAGGGGTGTCTCACAGGCTGATTTCAAAATTGCAAGATCCAAAATGACTCAGAGCCAACTCCCTCCTACCTCAGGTCCCCAGGAAAATCTCTTGTATCCTTGGCTACTCCCAATACATCCTCTTTCTTTTCCTACCCTCTCACCTTGGACCAGAGCCCCTACAGATTCTCATACCCATCCATGTGCTGCCCAAATTTCAGGGGACACTTTCTCTGAAGCCCCTGGAGATGACTGGAGGTGGACAAATCACACTCTCTCCAAAGAAATTCTTCCTTTCTTTCTCTTTGACATCATAACTCTTTAATAACCTCCAGGTGATGGGCTAAGTTTTGACAGATGAACTAGATTCTGGAGATACTTAATACCTACCATCAGCCTTTAAAGCTTCAGCCAAAATTCAGACAGAGTCATGTTTTAGCAACCTGTTCCAGATCTATATGTATATAAATCTTTGTAGAATGTGTATGTATAAGACGTATGGAGAAAAAATATTAAAGGATGCACCCTAGGTTATCATGGACTCCTAGTGGGAGTTTACTTATTGTCTGTCTCTTCACTGGAATGAAAGCTTCAAGTGATGAGGAGGAAAGAGGTCAAGGGTGAGGTAAGGGGGCCAAACAAAAAAGTAAAAGAAAACAAGAGATTGCACTAAAAGAAAGCAAACACATGATCGTAAGTAGGTATTTTAAAATATGAAGTAATAGTGCTGATAACATCAAAGTCAGGGTTCGATCTCTGTACCAGCCAGCTGAGAGAGAAAAAAAAAAAAAGATATGAAGTGAAAAGTAATTTTTAACATGATCAGTGACCTCCATCTTACCACATCCAATGGTCAATTCTCAGTCTTCACCTTACTTGACCTCACTGATCTCTTAGAAGCATTTGACATGATTGTTCCCTTGCGTGCAACACTGTCCTCACTTGGCTTGCAAGATGCCATACTCTCCTAATCTTCTGCATACCTCTTTGCAATGTTCTTTTTCAGTCTTTTTCACCAGTTTCTCCTCTAAATAGCAGAGTGCCCCGGGCACTTTCTGTCTACATTCATCTTCTCTGTCTACACTTACTCCCTACTTGTTCTCATCTAGTCTATGGCTTTAATGACACTCCATATACTGATTTATATCTCGTCCATATTTATATCTCTAATTCCAACCTTTCCCATCAGGTACAGACTGTTATTTTCCATCTCTCCCTCAACAACTAATAGGCTTCTCAAAACTAACATAATCAAAACAGAACTCTTAATCTCCCACCTGCTAAGTCCTCCTAAGTCTAGAAATGGCAAAATCATTCCCTCAACCACTTAAGTCAATGTTCTGGGAGTTATCCTTGATTCCTCCTCAGCAACTTCTGCTGGTTCTGCCTTCAAAATGGGTCTCCAGTCCCATCTCCACAGCTACCACTGGCCCAGCCACCATCATCTCTTCCTTAAACTACCTGGATACCCTCCTAATTGGTGTCTGTACTTTCATTCTTGCCCCCTTTTGCTCCACACAGCAGCCTGTGATTATTTTTAAAAAATAGACTAGATCATGTCAACACCCTGCTCAGAACCATCTGATGGCTTTTTGACTAGCTGATTTCCTAGTCAATGTCAATTTCCCACCCCCTTCTTGGGAAAAGTAATTTGCAAAGCTACAATCTACATTTCCCAGATTCCCTTGCAATTAGGGAGGCCATGTGACCCAGTTCTAACCAATGAGTCAGAAGGAGAAATCACCGGATATGTACTCTAAGAAAGCCACTGATAAAAGGGGACACTGTAGTGCTGTATATCCTTTGACTTTTGTTCCTCTCCTCTGCTTCTGCCCTGAAAGCAAATACTCAGAGGTAGAAAAGCCATGTTAAATATGGCAGGACAGGGGCCGGCCTGTGGCTCACTTGGGAGGGTGTGGTGCTTAGAACACCAAGGCCAAGTGTTCGGATCCCTATACAGGGATGGCCGGTTGGCTCACTTGGGAGAGCCTGGTGCTGACAACACCAAGTCAAGGGTTAAGATCCCCTTACCGGTCATCTTTAAAAAAAAAAAAAGGAAAGGAAAGGAAGAGAGAAGGGATCTTGTTCCTTGAGCAGCCACACCAGCCCTTGAATGCCCATCCCTAGATTCTTTGTTATATGAGAAAAAATAAATCCCTTATTTGGTAACAGGAGCTTCCCATCACCTTCAGAATAAATTCTCAAAGTTGTACATAATCTCTCCAGCATCCCCTACCCGTCTCTCCCTTATTTTTCCTGCACCAGTCTCATGGGCCCTCTGGGTTGTTCTTTGAACAGTCCAAGTTAATTCCCTCCTCAGCATCCTTGCCCTTGCTGTTCTGTCTGAAATCCTCTTCCCCAAGATTTTTCACGTGGTTTGTTTGACCCCTCTCTTTATTCAGCTTTCTGCTTTAATGTCACCCCTGCACGAAGACTTTTCCTCGACCATTCCATCCAAAACTGTCTCCAGCACTCTCTTTAACTCTTTAGTAGTTTATTTTTATTCGCAGCACATACCACTGTCTAAAATTGTCTCTGAGAATATGTTATCTTTTTACTTGTTTACTTAATATCTATCTACTGGAATGAAAGCTTCAAAAGGTACTAGCACATGCCCAGTACTTAGAAGCATGTGCTTGGTATAAAATAGTCATTCAAAAGATATTTATTTAGTCAATCAATTAATGACATTTTGAAATTGAAGACTCTTCCTTACTATTCACTGAGCAGTTCTTTGCCATACAAAGACATGTAATTATTCCACCAAAAGTTAGATTTGATAGTGGGTTTACGTGGGGATTCTTTGTCATACTAGCCCTTTTGGGGGCTATATTTTGTATTGGCACTCTTGGCAAGTAGACACTTCATTCTTGGCTGTATCCGAAATTCCGGCTCGACTCCGTAATTTAAGGCTGACCTAATGACTGAATTCAGCAGCAGTGTTTCCAGACACCTGCACTAATTAAACGATGCCAACGCATCATCTTTTTGGTTTTTCCCAGACCATCAAAATGATGGTGCGTGGTGAATCCCTTTACAGAGGCTAGACACTCGTTTTTTCCTGACTTTTTCTAGGCCGGGCGAGAGCTGTGATAAATCCGTTCCAAACGTGGACGTATCATGGCAGATATGAGTCCTAAGGCCTGGTTCCAAGCCCAGCTCACAGCTATATGGCCTGTTGGAGCTCTCAGGGTTATTGGGAGGTAGATTAGGGCCCGGCAATTCTGCCCCCTCCCGGAGTCTCACTTTCTGCGATTCGACAAAGAGAGGCTCGACTTGCGACCCTGCGTCCGCAGCCCCAGGTGTGTGGCTCCCCTCCTGCCCTCTACGGGTCCCTCTCACGCCCACTTCCCGCCCGGCGAGCCAGGAACTGGTCGAGTCCCGTCGGCCCCTGCGGGCCCCTCCCCGTCGCCATGGAAACGGAGGCAGCCAATCAGCGCGGCGGCTTGCGCTCCGCCCTGACGACGCGCAGGCTCCAGCAGCGTCGGGTGGGCTCGGCGGGCTCCCGGGCAGGGGACTGCGATGCTGAAGGCCAAGATCCTCTTCGTGGGGCCCTGCCAGGTGAGGCCGGGCCCGGCGCGGCGGCGGGAGCACCGAGCGGAGGCCGCGGGACGCGGGCGGGGGTGCCCCCCGGGTCTGTGCGTTGCGCCGGGAGCCCCCGGGAGGCGGGAACACGGTCCGACCGCTCCCACTCCGGCGGGCACCGCTGGATTTGCAGGGATCTCCGCGCTTCCAGACCCGGGTCCCAGCCCCCGCCTGAAGGAGGCTGTGGGGGCGAACCCGTGTTGCCGAGGTCTGCAGGAGGCCCAGGGTAGTGAGTGGCATCACCGGAACCAGAGCCTAGGTCTGGTGACTCTCTTTGCCCGCGAGGTCGTTCCTGATGGTTGTGTCTGTGAGATGAGAGAAAACTGAATTATTATATGGCCTTGGAACAACTCGCAATTAACGTGTGTGTGGTGGTGGTGGTAGGGGAGATTAAATCTCCATGTGTACTTCACACCATACACAAAAATAAAATTCAGGTGGACTAAAGCTAAACGTGTGAAAACAGCAACAACAGCCGTAGAAGTAGTAGATGAATATTCTCCAACTTCAGCGTGCGTCAGAATCACCTGGAGAGCTTTTGAAACACAAATTGTTGGGTCCCACCCCAGAGTTTTGATTCAATAGGTCTTGGAAGTACCTGAGAATTTGCATTTTACTGATACTGTTGGTCCACACACGTTGAGAACAGTGGTAGATGAGTATATGGAAAGATATGTTTTTAATCTTGAGATAGGGAAGGTCTTCTTAAGCACAGCACAAAAATGAAGACTTAAAAGAAATGACAGTGAAGTTGACGCTTGGCGAAAGTATTGGCAAAATAAATTACAAAGAAAGGATTAATAGAATACACAAGGAAACTAAAAATCAGTAAAGAGAAATAATTCAATAGAAAATCAAACATAGGCTCTGCACACGAAATAAAATTGCCCAATAAGTATGAGAAGATGCTCAACCTCACAATTACAGGAACACAAATCAAGACAAAAAGATGATACTTGTTTGCCCTCAGATTGGATGGGAAAAGTTTAAGACTGATAACACACAGTGTTAGGATGCATGTAGGGAGATGGGTATTCTGGGATTTTGTCGGTGAGACTATAAATTAAGAACAGTTTTTTGGAGATCAAAGTATTATAATTTAAAATGTGCATAGCTTTTACTGGAGCAATTACATTTCTCAGAATCGACTGTAGCTAAATGCTTGTCCATGTTCCCAGTGAGTCATGTACAATATTGAACCATTGGAAACACATTAGCCCATCAATAAGAGAATGTCTAGGTAAACTAAGGTACATTCTTACTTTGGAAGACTGCAGCAATTAAAATGAGGCAACTCTGTGTGCACTGACTTTGAGAGCTCTTCCAGACATGAACTTAAGTAGTCAAGAACCAACAATATGTGCAGAATTATGAAAAGCAAAACAAGTACAGTGTTTTAGTCCATTTTGTGCTGCTGTAACAGAATACCTGAGACTGGGTAATGTATAATGAACAGAAGTTTGACTCACTGTTCTGGAGGCTGGAAAGTCCAAGACTGAGGGGCTGCATCTGGCAAGGGCCTTCTTGCTGCGTTATACCATGGTGGAGAGGTGAAAGAGCATGCTCCAGAGAGAGAGAGAAGGGGGGGCAAACATCCTTTTATCAAGAACCCCCTCCTGGGATTACTAATCTACTCCCACAATAACAGCATTAATCCATTCAAGAGGGCCTACCCCCTGTGGCTTAATCACCTCTTAAAAGTCCTACCTCTCAACACCATTGCATTGGGGATTAAGTTTCCAACACATGAATTTTGGGGGACACATTCAAACCATAGCATATAGATATCTCCCTTTTTCTTTTTCTTTTTTTTGTGGAAATTCGCAAACATATACAAAGTGGGAAAGAACGATGAACTCCCAGTATTCGTCCCCAAGCTTCAAGAACAAAATATATTTCTGCATATGTATTTCTCCCCCTCCTTCACTACTCTTCAAACTCACCCATCTTTCTATTCCTTTAACCTGCTATAGCCATTTCTGCCCTAGTACCTTCAAACTAGCTATTTCCTCTGCTGGCTAGCATCCCAGTCATTCAAATCTCACTTTAAACTTCACCTCTTCAGCCTTCCTCACCCATTTCGAAGTCTCTATTTATCATAGCTCTTACCACTACCTCATCTTTTTCTCATTTATTCAATAGCACCTGACACAAGGTAGATACTTAAAAATGTCCTATAAGCCTGACTAACAGGCATTCTTCATTTTCCCGTAAGAACCCCTCCTGCCTCAATAAATTCTGGCTGAGCGTGGTGCTGACAACACCAAGTCAAGGGATGAGATCCCCTTACCGGTCATCTTTTAAAAAAAAAAAAAAAAAAGATGTATTAATTGGAAATGCTGTTCATTCTATTTAATTTAATGATAGTTTTTTGTTGTTGTTGTTTTTTAAAGATGACCGGTAAGGGGATCTTAACCCTTGACTTGGTGTTGTCAGCACCACGCTCCCCCAAGTGAGCTAACCGGCCATCCCTATACAGGGATCCGAACCTGCGGCCTTAGTGTTATCAGCACCACACTCTCCCAAGTGAGCCACAGGCCGGCCCTAATGATACAGTTTTATTCAAGCTCCTAACCTGAGCCTTGGACACCTGTGTTGCCTTCATGACTAGAGCAACTTTTTGAATCAGTTTCCAAAGCACATCATCTTTCTTAGCTCATCTAAGTTGTTAGGAAACAGTACTTTTTGAATCTGTGTATGACACCATTTTTTGAAATGTATTCCAAGCCCCGGGAACTGTTCCTATAACATCAGGCTATTTGCTTTATTCATTCATCCTAAAAATAAATATTCATGACTCCACAACATAACCACTTACTATGTTATTTTTAAGTGATACTTAATTTGTGACACCACATCCTCAGGAAAAATTACTAAAGCAGTGTTGAGCATCCTCCCTATTTTTTCTTTTTCTGTCCAGTTACCTCTGCAAGCCTCCCAAAATGGCATTGATTGAGTCAAGCAGTCAAAATAAAGTAATTGAAAGAGCAGAGCATAATTGGAGAGATTTTTGTAAGGACTTAAGTACGAGAGATTGCCTTCCTTCTGAGGAATAATTTTGGGGGAGGAAAAACACATTTTATATTCAGGCGTATACAGTATTTGTTAAATGAACAATGCAAATGTATAGAAAAGATCTGAAAAACAGATCATGGTTGTTAATTCAGGGAAGGGAATAGGACAGACGCACAGATGGATGGTTTGGGTGTAAGGATCAGGAGGGCTGTTTTGTTGATTTTTTTTTAAATGGGAACGTGTGTTATATAACCTAGAAGGAGAAACAACCCTTTATGAGATTGTGGCACAGCCAGCCGGGAGTCCCCAGACCTGAGACTCTGCTCTGACCTTGATCTGTGTGACTTTGAAGAATCCTTTCCCCTCTCTGAGCCTCAGTGGCTTTATATCTGTGACAGATAGTAGTTTCTCGAAAATGTGGAGAGGAATAGGCAAGCAGAGAAACACACACACTAACAATTTTTTGTTTTTCTTGTTCTCAGATAAGTTAACTGAGCCAACCAGGGAAAGCTAGTTGGGTAAAGTCACCCAGCAGCAGACAGCACTAGAATCTCATGCTTCCTGAATCCCAGACCAGGCCGTACCCACTTCTCTAGAGCAAAGCAGCGAGATGCCAACCAGAGAGATCTCAGGGTGGCCATGGCTTGTACTCCATCACACCTAGTTCCAGGCAGCTATTGGGGGGCTCTTTTATGGCTTACTTTTCTGCTTTTCAGCAAAGACCTTCTTTTATCTGTTTTCATGTTCACAGAGTGGAAAAACTGTTTTGGCCAACTTTCTGACCGAATCTTCCGACATCACTGAATACAACCCAACCCAAGGAGTGAGGTGAGGTCTGACAAATCTGTGTCCCAAACAGTCCCTGACCATCACCCACCCCCTACATCGGGTGTTGTTGGCATTCCAAAAGTATAATATTTCCTAAGTATAGGTGTTGCCGCTGTTGTTTTTATTTTTTAGGATCCTGGAATTTGAGAACCCACATGTTAGCAGCAACAGCAAAGGCGCAGGGTGTGAATTTGAGCTATGGGACTGTGGCGGTGATGTAAAGTAGGTGTTCCTTAAAGAAAGTCTGCTTCATCAAATGACGTAAAATCAGCTGCCCACCAGGCACCATGGAGTTGGGCCTATTGTGTTTCCCAGCATGTCTGAGGAACTTGATAAATTATTTGTCAACATGCATTGCTTTATAAACTTTAGTGATTGGGTGTATTAGTCCATTTTTGTTGCTTATAACAAAATACCTAAAACTGGGTGATTTATAAAGAAAAACGACATTTACTGCTTACAGTTTCTGAGGCTGAGAAGTCCAAAGTCCGTCTGGTGGTGGTGACAGTGATTCAGGGGTCTCATCTTGAAGATAATGGAAGCAGAGAGAGCAGAGCAAGAGCAAGAGACAGACTCTCCCCTTTTAAAGCCCTCAGAACCACACCCCTGACCACCATTTTTAATCCATTCACTACTGCACGGTCTGACAATCCAATCACCTCTTCAAGGCTCCACTTTGCAAGGATCTCCCACCCTCTTAACAGTCACATTGGGGGCTAAGTTTCTTCTTTTTTTTTTTTTTAAGATGACCAGTAAGGGGATCTTAACCCTTGACTTGGTGTTGTCAGCACCACACTCTCCCAAGTGAGCCACAGGCCGGCCCAAATTCCAAATTCCAGCCCTCTAAGATGTTCTTTTTAAGTCAACAGTTAGAAAGCAGAGTGACCTGGGCCGGCCCATGGCTCACTTGGGAGAGTGTGGTGCTGACAACACCAAGTCAAGGGTTAAGATCCCCTTACTGGTCATCTTAAAAAAAAAAAAAAGAAGAAGAAACTTAGCCCCCAATGGGACTGTTAAGAGGGTGGGAGATCCTTG